ACTTCAGCTTGTTGTTAACAGCGATCAAAACTCCTCCTTCATTCTCCTTGCGATGAACTTGGTCCCTCTCAGTGTTTGGTGACCGATCACAACGATATACATCGTACATCTGCGGAAACAAGTCATTCGAATTGATGGCGTCATTCAGATGAGTCTCTCGCAGCATGTAAATTTGCGAATGGTGCACTAGAATTTCCGCCACAAACTCCGGTATTTTTGTTTTTAATCCATTTACATTTTGTGAATGGATAAACAGCTGTTTTGAATATTTTTCATCATTAAAATTGTGTGTAGTACTCATTTCTCCCTTTGGAGAACATATACAGTAATTATTTAAATTACCTGAGTGACCACTCTCCATTTCCATCGATGAAAAATTAACAGCTGAGTTTGTTGTGGCATCTAATAGTGGTTTCTGGATTGCCAGCGTTGAGCCGGCGGCCGAAGTCCCCTCCGAACACGTTGAAAATCCTTAAAACCATTCTCGAATTCAATAAAACAAGAGCGGCAATCACAATCATCAAAATGCGGACTAGCTCTCGGCAAAACACTTGGAAAAACATGTCTTATGGTCCACAGACTCAAAATATGAAGGAATGTTCAACTTGCGGTTCCATACGTAGGTTGCTCCATAATTTTTTTTAAAATGGTACTTATAGTGTTGCCCGATGTAAACCATGTCATATTCGTAAAGTTTGATGTTTTGGTATGTATTCGTGCCCTGAACCTTTTGTCGTACGAACGCTATTTGTATTGTTTACAGTGACTGGTAAACTGCGACTCAACAAAAAAATGAATTTTACACGTGAAGATTTTCGTAAAATGATTTACTACGATTTTCGAAGTAAATTATCTCAACAACAGTGTTTCGATCGACTTCATTTGGCCTTTGGCAATGAAGCACCAACCCTTCAGACAATTTATAACTGGTACCGAGAATTCCGTTGCGGTCGTAGTTCGCTCAAAGACGAGTTTCATACAGGTCGTCCAAAATCGGCTGTTGTGCCACAAAACATCGATGCTGTCAGAAAACTGATTATGGAAGATCGTCATGTGACCTACCGTGAGATTGAGGCATCTTTGGGCATTTCATCCCACAGCATACATACAATTTTGCATGAACATTTAGCCGTAAAAAAGATTTGCTCTCGTTGGATCCCACATAAATTGACCGATGAACAAAAAATGGCTCGTATGAGTTGGTGTAAAGAAATGCTCAAGAAATTCAATCGTGGTGCTTCAAAAGACGTTAATAAAATCGTCACTGGTGACGAATCGTGGATATATGCCTATGAGCCCGAAACGAAACAGCAGTCTGACTGTATGGGTCTTCCAAAATGAAGATAACCCAACGAAAGTTGTTCGAGCAAGAAGCACTTCGAAGCGAATGGTCGCCTGTTTTTTCGGGAGAAGTGGTCATGTGGCAACCGTTCCACTAGAGGATCGTAAGACCGTCAATTCTGATTGGTATACCACCATTTGTTTGCCCGAAGTGTTTGGTGAAATAAGAAAAAACAACCACCGTCGCAAAATAATTCTTCATCACGATAATGCGAGCTCTCACACATCTTTTCAAACTACTCGATTTTTGACCGGTCAAAACATCGAACTGATGGGTCATCCACCGTACAGTCCTGACCTGGCACCCAATGACTTTTTTTTGTTCCCAAGCGTGAAGAAAAAACTACGTGGTCAACGATTTTCGACACCAGAAGAAGCAGTTGAAGCGTTCAAAACACACGTTTTGGAGATATCAGTTTCGGAGTGGCACGAATGCTATGACAAATGGTTTCATCGAATGCAAAAGTGTATCGATCATCTCGGGGAATATTTTGAAAAACAATAAAACCATTTTCGACAAAAAACAACTGTGTTATATATGTTTTTAAAAAAAATTATGGAGCAACCTACGTATAAGACAGCGAATTGAAAGGAATGGAGGTACATTTTATTGGAAAATCATGATAAATTGCAGTGACCTAATCACCATGAAAAGTTGTGAATCTTATTTTCTGACCAAAATAAGTAATATCAACAAGTTTCATAAAATATCAGACAAAAATAAAGGTGCCCCCCATGGGAGCGACGTGAAAAAACTTGACATCAGCGCCAGTCCCTCATAACTAAAAATGATACAAATTCGCAATAGATGGCGCTTATAAATCGACAAACACGCTTACATTTTATTAGAAGAAAAATGAAAAATATTGAAATATTTTTAAATTAGTTAAATTTAATTGATGTGATTCTAGTGCTTCTTTTGTTTTCAATGGTTTTTAATGAATTATAGAAAATATCAAATGTGATATTTGTTGTTTCGATATGTCGAAAATGTTGTATTGGTTGATTGTCAAAATGCACAGAATTTTTCGGGAAGAAATTTGTTTAGATTTATAATTTTATAAAATATTTTATGCACTCAATTTATTTTATCATATATGATATCTCAGTGTGCCTTTGTGCACATGTCTTATGTTGTCTGTCAAGCTATATTGCGCATGTTACACAACAGTGTCGAGTGTAGTGTACACTATACGATATACATGATGTGCACTATAGTCAACACCGTTGCGTGTGTATCTTGTCGACAGTCAGTATAGCATAATGAAATATCATATATGATAAAATAAATTGAGTGCTTTAAAATATTTTATAAAATTATAATTATAACTAATTTCTTCTTGAAAACTTCTGTGCATTTTGAAAATAAACCAATACAACATTTTTTGACATTTCGAAACAACAAATATCACATTTGATATTTTCTATAGTACTTTAAAACCATTATAATCAGAGAAGCACTAGAAGACACTTATTTAAATATTTCAATATTTTTCATTTTTCTTCTGATAAAATGTTAGTGTGTTTGTCGATTTATAAGCGCCATCTATTGCGAATTTGTACCATTTTTAGTTAAGAGGGACTGGCTCTGATGTCAAATTTTTAATCGTACGTTTCACGTCGCTCCCCTGGTGCCCCCCATTAATTTTTTTTTTTTTTCTCAAGAAAAAATGCTTGTTAAACCATATCGGTTGCTTCCTGATGATTTTTGTTTTTAACTTGACATGAGTTTCGATTGTTGACTTTACAATTGTATAGAAATTATTTAACCTTAATTCTAATGAATTTGCATTGAATTGCTTATTTCAGTCAACATCAAGGAGTGACTTATTTATTATCTTATAGCCAGCATTTATGTAATCTCTATATGTTTGCTTTGTTCCAATAGTTTTGATGACAGGCTCATTATATCGAATATTGATTGCATTGTAGTGCTTCTCAAAATTTAACAGTGCTTATGAAACGCACGCTCAACGCGATACGTAACTCAATGTGCTGAGTTTTCAAATGCACGGTGCGCTTGTCCATTCACCGAACAAGTGCGAGAGCAACCACTACTCGCTCAAGTCACATTATGAGTGAGCTAAATCTCATTCACACCACTCATATATCTACTTAAAAATAAACATAAAAAACATTATACAAAATGAAGGATAAAAGGGAATTTTTTTTCAGCAATTTTTTGTGTATCAAACAGCAATTATCAAAGTGTTGTGCATTTCTTCGACGGTTGTCCGCATAATTCAGTTTTTGGAAAGACCTGTTGACCGAAATTTGATAGAATTGTGGACGATTATCCCAACGGCTGCCCGATCCAAAATCGCCATAAAATGGTTGTCGTTGTACCCGAAGATATCCCATTCCATGGCTTGATGTTTGCGTACCCATCTGTTGTCGATGGACATTTGACTGACATGGTCACTCTGATGTTGTTGTTGTTGATGTTGCTGTCGTTGTCTTTGTTCTTGCTGCGTGTTTGTGCCTGTGTTTGTGTTGTTTTGTACTTTTTTCCCTTTCTTCTTTTTCTTTTTTTCTTCTTCTTCTTATTTTTTGCAACATTTTCATTTCTCGTATTTTCTTTGACGGTTTCATCTGTCACATTCGAATCATAGTCGGCTTGTTCATCATTGTTCGATTGTGTTTGCGAATCAATTGTTATGACATTTTGTGTGTCATTGTCAAATAGTTGCCTTCGATTATCGATTTTAGTTCATTTTGAACCACACCGATAATTCTCTCACCAACGATTTTCACTAATCTGGATTTTTCGTTGGATTCTCGCTCAATTCCCGCGTCAATACACGCTTCACATGTGTATGTGAGCGGTGAGAGATCATTTGTTTTTCGTCTTATCATAATTAATGAGTACAAATGCTCTCAATAATTTTGGTGCATACGGAGTTGACATGCACTCAAAATATTTTTTTGTTTTGCATTTGTTGCGAAAAAGAAGGAAAAAGATCAGTCAACACAACGATCGATAATTCAACAACTATTGGTGCAAGTGTTCAGGTAAGAACGAATGATGAACGTGAAAAAGAAAAGAAAAGACTTAGAAACCAACGATCGCGTCGAAATAAGAAGAAGAAGAAAGCAAACAAAGAGCAAAACAAAATTAATATCAACGTCAATCCGGTTCCATCATCAACTCGTCAGCCACAAACAGACCCAAACACATCGAATAGTCAAAATAAACACGACAATCATCCACCAACCGCTCCAACAAATGATGCCACACGTCAAAAACAACTAATTCATCATCAAAACCAGCCGAAAACACATACACGTCACAACATTCAGCAAAACCAACATCAATCAATGGCACCAACTGAAAATTTTGAGGCAAGTCGATCGTTCCAACAAAGAAACTGGGTCACAGTAAGACACCAGAACATCGACCGTCAGAGAAATAACCACAATTCCATGCAGAGTTTTGCAGAAAATCGACCAATCAATAAATCACATTATGCAAATTGTGACTGCCGTAGTTGCTTTGATGACTATGAGCGCCGATATGCAAATTTTCAAAGATTTCGGAGAGGTGTTCGTCCGCCGGCACATCGTTGGCAGACCAGGCACTTCAATTAAACATCGATTCAAAAGATGCTGCTAATTTTTCTTTGAAAACTAAGGCGAGTGGTCTCCCAGAAAAATTGACTATGCAGCTCACCATCCATTCACAAAATGTGAATGGCCTACGTTCGAAAATTCCCGAATTTATTGCTGATGTAATGGCCAAACAATCATCAATTGTTCAACTGTCAACAATTTATATGCTTTGCGAAACACATTTGGACAACGCTATCAATACAAACGATATTTTTCCACCAATGTACAGTGTTCATCGATGTGACCGTTCAACGAATACAGAGAGAGACCAACTACATTCAAAGGAGAGAGGCGGCGGAGTATTGATTGCTGTCAACAACAAACTAAAGTCAGTTTGCATCGGAACGGGTGACCATTTCGGAGCAGAACAAATTTGGGTAAAGGTTACCAGCATGAGAAGGAACATCTTTTTGGTTGAATTGTACATCAGACCAGACTCAACTCTCAAAGTATATGAAAACAACATGTATGCTTTGAAAGAACTAGCTTCAAAGTTGAGTGAAAAAGATGTTTTAATAGTATCTGGTGACTTCAATCTGCCCAAATTGATTTGGTTTGTTGCAGTTATTATTATTACAATTGCTATCAATGCAGCCAGTGAAAAAGAGAAGATAGTGCTGGATACTTGCTATGAACTGGGACTTCACCAGATTAACAAGAATTACAACCAAAATGGTCGTATGCTTGATATGATCTGGACAAATGATGTTGAGTTGTTTCAATGCACAATAAGTGACTATCATTTATTGAATTTTGAAAAGCACCACAATGCAATTGAAATCAGATATAATGAGCCGGTCGTCAAAACCATTGAAACAAAACAAACATATCGCGACTTTATAAATGCAGACTATAAGCGAATAAATGAGTCGCTTCTTGATATAGATTGGCATAGTGTTTTTGATACAAGTTCATTACAATTGAAACTAGATAATTTTTATACAATTATTAAGTCAACAATTGAAACACATGTACAGTTAAAGACAAAAATCAACAGGAAACAACCGATGTGGTTTACCAAGTCATTGGTTGAGTTGAAAAACATGGTCAGCAAAGAACATCAAAATAAAAAAAGGTTCAACACAGTTGAATCAATTGAACATTACAAAGAAATAAGAAGGAAATATAAACGTTGTGCACGCTCAGCTCTCAGAGATTACAGAATAGAGATGGAGAAACAGATAGATGATGACCCAAAGAAATTTTTCAAGCACGTGAATTTCAAAAAAGGGAAATGTGAAGATCTACCACATGAGATGACTTATTTAAATGAAAAAGCAAGCGATCAATTAACAATTGCTAGTTTTTTTGCAAAACACTTTGGCAACGCTTACAGCTCTTTAGAAGGTGATCTGCGATATGACAGCTCGGAAATAGAAAAAATACGTGATATTTGTGCTGAAATATCAATGATCGAAATAACCGAGGAGCTTGTAGGTCAACATATAAGCATGCTGCCAGATGATCTTGTCTGTGGTCCTGATGAAATTCCAAACAAATTTATCAAGCATTGTTTGGTTTCATTGCAGGGGCCAATCTCAACACTGTTAAAAGAATCACTTGAAACTGCCTCTGTCCCGCAGATATGGAGAACGTCATTTGTCAGACCAGTCTACAAAAACGGCGATAGAAACAACGTTCAAAATTACCGAGGTGTTGCTTTACAGTGTATTTTGTCAAAAATTCTCGATTCGATCGTCACAAACCATCTCAATCTATATTTGAAAAACATAATCCACGAAAGTCAACATGGATTCATAAAGAACAGGTCAACGATAACAAATTTAGTTGAATTTACTTCAAAAACAATTAATAACATGGGGAGAGGACATCAAACAAACGCCATCTATTTGGACATAGCCAAGGCTTTTGACTCGGTCAACTTAAAATTGCTTATTCAAAAACTAGAAATCATGGGACTGAATGAACAGCTGTTAAAATGGATCGAATCTTACTTGTCTGGTCGCAGACAAATTGTAAAGATAGGAGATACCAAATCTGACCCAATCAAAGTTACATCTGGGACGGGTCAAGGATATCCAATTTGCGCTACTTTGTTCATCATGTTTGTTATTGATCTACCATTCGTCGTTAGCGATTCTTGTATACTTTCATTCGCTCCTCAAGCGTAATCATTTGTAGAAACAGGAGTCTATGCTCATATTTAGGAAGTTTATATCTGTCCCAGTTCATTCTCCTTAGCGCAAAAAGTAAAAATTGTTTTTGTACTGACTCTATTTTTTTGCACATATTGTCGTAGTGTGGATTCCATATTTCTGATCCATATTCTATAATTGGTAATACAAATGTAAAATAAAGGCGTTTAATTGTCCATGGGTCAATAAAATCCTTGCTGTAGAACTTTAACCAAGCCAGTTTTGATTTGGCTTTAGCCGTGACATGCTCGACGTTAGGTATGTTTTGACTGCTACGCGGCAATTGGTAAATGTAATATTATGCTGGGGTAAATTTAATTTGTTCGTGTCGTTTGTTTTGAAAATATGACAAAATGGTAGAATTCGTACGGTAATTTGGTAAAGTAATATTAAACTTACAAATTACCCTTTACATTTACCAAATTTTTTCTCTCTGTGTATTTTTCAGTATTTTGTTCCAATTTATTTTATTTGTTTGTGTTATTTTCTATTTTTAATTATCGATTTTGTGTAAATATTTAAGAGCACTTGAAAAAAAAATGAACTGTCAAAGTCAGCTTTCACCAAAATCAAATTGATTTGGTTTGTTGACGAAAATGAGGACCCGAACATAGCAATAGCTATCAATGCGGCCAGTGCAAAAGAGAGCTTACTTTAAGACCTTTCCGACGAATATGCATATGTCCTGGTTATGTCAAGTCTAGGTCCCACAGTGACCGTATGAAATAATGGCCATTTTTGCATGACCTTTTGCATAGTTTGCCATTTATTCTAACATTTTTGTAGATTTCTTTTAATTTCATTTGTGACTAACCGCATGCACCTCTCCCGACGATAGTCCACCGTCTGGCCTGGTGGGAGGGGGCATAAGATTCAGTATTTTATCGATCTTATGCGAGGAAACCTTCGAACATGTAGTTATTTGTGGTTAAGATTTCATATTTCATACATCTAGACATTTTTGTGAAAATTCGAATTTTGGTACATTTGATTTTTGGTGGAATAGCCATCCAAAACGGTCGATATTTTGTTTGGCTTGTCACAGAGCATACTTACAGATTCATTGGAGTATATTTTGGCCCATAAAATACTTCAAATGTTAAAAGTAACATTTTTTGTAATTTTTGGCCATTTTTGGCCATATTCGCACTATCAAAGGCCATATCGTGAAGACAAGAATTTTTAGGGATATAAGCTATGCGGTATTTTATAGCTTAGACTTGGGCCTAAAAATCGATGAAATTTTCAAGTGATCAAGAAAGGCTAGTTTTCGAGCTAATGACCATTAATTGTCCGGCCAAACGGTAACTTTTTGGTTTTTGGCCAATTTGGCCACTCCAAATTGAAATTTTTGGACCGCAAATGACTTCATTCGATAGCTCACTTCAAGACCTTTCCAATGATATGCATATGTCCGGGGGGTGTCAAGTCATGGCGCTTCGGTGACCATAGGAAAAAAAGTCGAAAAGTGACTTTAAGAGGCCGGCCATGGCCAACATGGCGGCCAAATCGAAAAGTGCCGGAACAAAAAAGTCTTAGTTTTTTGTGTACTTTATCCCAGAAAGTTTCAAAGAGGTACGCGAAAAAAGTGCACAGACACACAGACAGACATTTTGATATTTCATAGAAATTCATATGAAATTTTTAAAATAATAAATTTTTCGAATGGATTAACCGATTTCGACGTTTGAGGTATCGTTGGAAAGGTATTGAGCTCTAGATTTCTAATATCGATGTTTTAGGGGTCAATGACCTCATTTAGTGCCATCTATGGTCATGAAACTGAATTTTGACCCTTTTCTCGAAAGGACTATATTTTGAAGACAGGTGGACCGATTTTCAAACTTTTATATTTTTTCTTGATCTATAGCCCAAGGGCTTTCCAACCGTACATCAATCGGGGCCAACGGCCTTCTAGGTCTGTATTTCGTATATTACGTGTATATATAGCGAGTTCGACTTTTCAACACACTAATGTGGTTTCGTCACTCGCGCGAACTGCCGTCCGATGTGATCCCATTGGCGCAACTTTGTTCATCATGTTTGTGATTGATCTACCTTTTGTCGTGACCAAATCTTGCATCCTTTCATTCGCTGATGATACCAAAATTTCAAAATGTATAAAATCAGAAGATGACTGCATTCATCTTCAAAGGGATTTAGATCGTGTAGCAAATTACTATGGGCGCAATTTATTAAAGTTAAACGTTAACAAAACAAAATTAATAACATATCATCGTGTATCAATGAAATATGAATATAATTACAACGTAGATGGCGTGCAAATTGAAAGAGTTGAAGTAATGAAGGACTTGGGAGTATTGCTTGATGTGAAGATGAATTTCAAATCACACATCGAGCATGTTGTTGCTAAGGCAAAATCAAGATTGGCTTGGTTAAAATTCAACAGCAGTGATTTGGTCGACGCATGGACTTTAAAACGCCTTTACTTTACATTTATATTACCGATTATTGAGAATGGATCTGAAATATGGATTCCACACTACGACAATATGTGCAAAAGAATAGAGTCAATACAAAAACAATTTTTAATATATGCTCTGAGGAGAATGGCCTGGAACGATTTTAGACTGCCAAAATACGACCACAGATTACTATTTCTGCAAATGCTTACTCTTGAGGAGAGACGCAAGATGGCGCAAGTGTCTTTTATTTTCAAAATTATTCACGGAGATTTAAAGTCAACTTATGTTTCAAACAGTATGAAATATTATGATCCAGCACATGATACCAGAGCAACACCACTATTTGATTTACCAATTAGGAGAACTGATTACACCAAATATGAACCAATAAATTATATGCTTACATCATTCAACGATTTTTATACCAAAAAAATGACAAACAGTGATACTAATTTAATTGATTTAGAAGTAAATTTATCAACAGTCAAACTGAGAATAGAAAACTATTTAAAGCAAAGCAGATAAATAAAAGATATTTGTTAAAGATTGTAGAAATTTTAAGCAGTTGGAAAATTGATTTATGAAATTTATATTATTATTTACATGAAAGGAAAGAAACAATAATTTTTCATATTCTCTCTCAAAAATGCTTGATAAAAATCAAATTGTATTATATTATATTTATTTAATTAAATTATTTTCAATAAACCACCAAGGCGAAGGAACGCTGTTCGGTGCAGTTATTATTATCAAATATTGTCCGCCAAAACGAGTGCCGTTGCATTTTTTTTCACTGCAGTTATGTTTGTTCATTGTTGTTACAGCGAATACGAAAATGGTTGTGTTATCGTGCAACAGATGTCGTTGTTTGTAGTGAGCCGGTTCTATGTAGGTTATGTTTGCTACACAAAAACACAAGTCACTCACATACACGATTCACTAAATGATTTTACAACAATTTTCACAAGAAAATTTAAAAATAAATAATATTTTTTCTATTTGATAAAACCACCCATTTTTATATTTTTTAGATTTTATCGGGAGATAATATTCAATCGCTAAATATAAAACCAGTTGAAGGTCAAGCGCGTGCGAAATTCAATTTTCAAGCTCAATCACCAATCGAACTGTCATTGAATAAGGGGGAATTAATTATACTTACACGACAAGTTGATGACAATTGGTTTGAAGGAAGGATCGCGAATCGAAAAGGAATCTTTCCAGTTTCATACGTTGACGTGAGTTGTAGTTAAACATTTCTTAAAAGGTTGAATATCACTTGAAAATGAATGTAAAGTCAACCTTGATGGTATTTTCCTTTATTTTTTATCGTTTCAATTCATTAGTAACAAATAATATTTACCTTTAAACTAGAACTTACTCGTTGTTTACAAATTTTCCTCACTAGAAATAAGAAATATAATAATAAATGGACTCGCTTTACATATATATATATGGACTTAATTTCCAAATCTTTATCTAGAATTGAGAAAAAAACATTGAAGTTTAAAAGGCCGTATCTTGAAAATAAGAATTTTCCCAGATATGAGCTATGCGCCTAAATACTAAGTTGTGCCTAAATAAATGGATTTGCAAAGCATTGATGTCGCAAAGGAGCGAAGTCAACAAATTTCATCTAGAGAACCAGTTTTACATAAACAATGAGAAAATTCGTCAAAATTGAAATTGAGTACAAATTGCAGAAAAAGCGAAAAAAAATAATATAATATGAATATTGATCACAAATGATGGCAGTTCGCGAAAATGACAGAACTTTCAAAACTTGAAAGAAATCGACAATTCGTTGTTCAGAACATAATTTTGATGGTTTGATACACACTGCGAAAAATCGAAGACTGAAGAATGGTCCATTGAGTGTAATGCAAATGTGCTATTCGATAGCCCATGAATAGAGGTTTATATCAATAAAAAAGATTCTACTATTGTGTGTTTGTTGTTCAAATGGTGAACTTCTGAAATTTTCCGAAAACTCATGAGACTTATGTATTCGGTTTTTCAAGACTTCAGCAAACAATCGAATGCAGGCTGAAAAGTGCCTAAACGCGCATGCCATGGAAAAATTAATCCTTATACAAACTCACAGTATTTTTTAAACATTTTTAAACTAAATAATCTTCATTTGCTTGGCATCTTTGTCAATGAAATCAGCCACATTTGTTCGAATCCACTGTTGCACGGTTTTAGCTCGGTGTGCAGGTACGCCATCCTGCTGAAACACCCATGGTTCGTTTCGAAACAATCTCTTAGCTTGTGGCAACAGATTTTTGCCCAATATTTCTTGTTTAGAAAATTTAGCGTTGATTTTTACGTCTTTTTCGATGAAATTCAGAGGAAATTTTCGATCACTTTTGGAACATTCTGAAATCGTTCAACGGTCTTTTCGTATTCAGGAATGTGTACTAACACACTACATACACACGATCATTTTTTGCATTGAGACTTGGCTGTAGCAAGAACAACTTTTCATCCGAAAAAACGATATTTGAATCGGCGTGCCGGTGCATTAGTTCTTTACATTTTTGCTTTCTGGCTCGCATATTTCTGATTGTAAGTCCGTGTCTGCGGACTTTTTTGAAAAGTGTCATTCTTAAATCATCTTTTAAAACTCGACGCATTGAATAATGACTGATGTTATGCGCTTGAGCCAGCTTTGTCGAACTTCTTTGGTGATTTCGGCGAATTTTGACTTTGACTTGTTTGATGAATGCTTTTGTACGAACGAATCTTTTTCTCCCGGTTTTCTTTTGTATGTCAACAGTGCCATGTTCCTTGTTCGTTTAATGGTACGTTCAATATTTATTTATTCACCGTCTGATCACAGACTGTATTTATCACAACATTTTGTACAATACCATTCACAATGAATCACTATACCCGATCGAATATCCAGCTACCAGCCTTGTCGACTTCGGAGCAGCAGATATCGATTGTGTTCATTGTTTTAATCTCTAATTTTCAATACAATTTTTATAAAAATTACAGTTTTCACCGTTCAACAAATATTATATTTTCCAATTTAAAAATATTACTTCTAAAAATTTGTCTCGATGCTGATTCTAAAAACGTTTCTCTTATTAAATTAAAATTCCTACAAGCTACGTAAAATGGCTGGTTATGTGCATATTCCGATGTAAATGTTCTAACTCTAATTAGTTCTGTATTTCTTAAATTTCTTTGGTTTACGTTATATTGCTGTCGTGTGTATACAATTTTATTTCGAAGCGAACTAGATACTATTTTACCCAAAAGGAGGTCATAAATTAAAAATATAGTGGCATTTATACGCCGTCTCCAAAGCGGTTGAATGTTCAAAACATCACATCTAAACTGATACGGTGGCAATACATAATTCTCATCTCTCTGATATACATATCGTAACGACCAGATGACAAAATCTTTTTGAATTGATTCTATTCTATCGGAGTGGATACGATGATATGGAAGCCATACAATACTCGCGTATTCCAATTTTGACCTAACTAGTGCACAATATAATATTTTTGCAGATCCGATCGTGTACTTATTCTTTAATGTTCGTTTGATGAAACCCATTGCCGCATGTGCACTGGCTGCAATCGCATCGATGTGATCAGTGAATGTTAGTTTTGTGTCGAAAATAACGCCGAGATCCTTTTGCATTTTGGTCCGTTCAAACGTATGATGACCGTTGTCGATCGTATAGTCGTAGTTGACTACGTTTGCACCCTTTGCATACGTCATTACGTAGCACTTCTTCAGATTCAAATGCAGGTTGTTTTCGTTACACCAGTCGCTCAATTGATCAATGGCTTTTTGAAAAATGATGGCATCAATGGGCGAATGAATAGTGCGGATCAATTTCAGATCATCTGCAAATAATAAAACAAGTGCATTTGACACAGTTTCGACAATATCGTTTATGAAAATAATAAAGAGACATGGTCCCAAAATACTTCCCGCGGGTACTCCCGATGGTACAATGAAAGTCCTTGACTTTTTTTCACCAATTCCAACAAACTGCGATCGTGATGTCAAATAACCATGGAACCATTTGACAATTTGGCGGCCGAATCCAAATCTCACCAACTTCTGCAACAATTTCTTGTGGTTCACACGTTCGAAGGCCTTCTCAAAATCTGTGTACAGCACATCCGTTTGACATTTATTGACCATTGAGTCCATCGTGAAATTTACCATTTGCAGTAAATTTGTTGAGGTTGATCGATTTTTCACGAATCCATGTTGATTGTGGCTGATTTGCGCATTAACAAATGTGTCGATTTTGGCATAGACAACAATTTCGAATAATTTGGCTATTGTTGGTATGATCACAACTGGCCTGTAATTCACTGCATTGCTCTTTTTACCAGCCTTGTAAATTGGCACAATTCTGGACTTTTTCAATGCATCTGGAACACATCCTTGTTGAAATGATCTACGAAATAGCGCTGTTAACGGTTTCGACAATGAGTGTGCGCAGTTCTTCAACACTTTCGGTGATATTCCATCTGGACCGGCTCCTTTGCTCGCGTCAATGGATTGCAATGCCTTTAACACATCGGCTTCAGTGATTTCAAAGTCAAATGATACGTCTCCACATTCATCCAGCAATTCATCCAAGTCGATAATGTCGCTTCGTGTGTACTGATTTTCGAAAAAATCAGCGAATAATTCCGCTTTCGATGTGTCGGTATTCGCTGTCACATCATTATACTCAACGATAGCTGGAATATCGCTCCGTTTCCACACAAATCGCCAAAAGTGTTTTGGATTTGATTTGATTTGTGATTGTATGCGGCTGATGTACGATTCAAATAACTGACTTTGTAATTGGATGAACGAATCCGTGATGTTATTGTATTCGTCGAAATTGCCTTGCTTGCTTGTATGCTTTTCTTCTGACATTTTTCATGTGCTTCAATTGTTTCGTGTACCATGGTGGATCAGTGCCACTTTGAACGGTTATCCTCGGGACAAATGAATCGATCGCCTCGTGTAGAACATTTCCAAAAATGTGAAATGCATTCTCGAGGTCATCTATTCGATTAATTTCTGACAAAATGTGATTTCCAACGAAGAATGAATTTATCGCATCGAAATCGGCCGAGTTATGCGCATAAATTTGTGAAAACTGCGGTGATGTGATCTCATTTTCATCAATTGTCACTTCCATTTCGAGTGCTTTGTGCCAAATGTCCGATTTTACCAATGGCCTTGTCGATTCAATCAACGACATTTCGTAGAACCTGTTTGTGAATACAA